AGTAGAGAACAATGTATACAGTATGCTACCATCTGTATTAGATAGGTGTGTGTCTTCACTAGTATATGCATAAACCATCTCCAGAAGAATGCAGGGAAAGCCTGAAATGTTGATTGCCTCTGGGAAGGAAGCCAGTTATTTGGCTGACAGGAGTGGGAAGGCTAATTTTTATAGAATACCCTATTGCACTTTAACATTTTCAAACCATTTAGCTGTACCACCTATTTAAAAAAAAATAAATTTCCTACCTGATCCCTTAGGCGTTTGTATTTTCTATGCAGTATATGCACACAGTGAGCAGTAAAGGCTTATATCTTAACCAATTCAAGAATTTTTATTTCAGGTATTTCAAGATTAAAAAGTTTTTTTTTAAGTTATCAAAGGCAGCCTGGGTTTTGAAATGGGTTTGAAAATAAAACTCTCAAATTTTATTATTGTTTCACAGACTTAAAGTTGCACAGACTTAGTTTCTAGCCTTAAATCCTAACTATTTTTAGCCCTCAAAATCAAGAGTGTCTTGTGCCATATCAATTGGGTTAAATGTACTTTCAATTAAAGGTGCTAAGTATGCGTCTGAAAAGATTAATTCTTTATAAAAGAATGGCCTTCAGTAGTTAGATCCAATTAGGCATTTTTCCAACTATATTTCATCTTGATGGGACAAGTCTGCAACTCACAATCAATCACTGTGATCTTTTCAAAGGTGAGTGTTTTAGGTTGAGAGTTGCAGAAGAATGGCTTGACTAGGCAATCTCTGTAACTTGAATCACAGTTGTTGTAGACAGAGATTATGAGTTTGGATGTGCAGATTGATATTCTGGGGACAGTTCTTATACCACTCTTTTCATGGCCTTAGCAGAACAAACTAGATTGGTTAAAAAAAATGACAGGAATAGTGACATAATTGGTATTGAATCAATTCATTTTATTCCTGCTTCTATCATTATATTACTAAGTATAATATAATTATTTGCTTTCCTAGTAATTTTTTTTTGTGTTGGAGTACTTTAATTCTAATTTATCTTTTGCTCACATATAGTGCACAAAACTTGGACTATTTTAGTTCTGACATAACCTTTGCTCACATATAATACACAAAAACAAAACTATTGAAGAAATGAATGGTTGCTGGTCTTGGACAGTATTGTTTTTTCTCAAATGTGAAAGGAAATGAGCATTTCTGTTTGTACTAAATATTTCCAGTATGTAAGTATTAGTTTACACTCTGACACTCATTAAATTTATAAATTTGGGAAAGCCATTGAATGTGATCACCTAAAAAGGGGATAACAAGCAATACTTCTGTGCACATCTGACTGTTGTGCTGATTGTTGGAACCAAATGAGATTTTATGTATATGCAAATTATGTACAATTATCTTTGGTATCTGCAATGTTGCAGATTACTCCATAAATACCAAAATCCATGGATTCTCAAGTCCTCCACCCCCCTTTCTTTTAAATAATAGATTTTTTATTTATATGAAAAGCAGAAAAGCAGAGAAATGTTTTCCATCTGCTGATTCATTCCCCCAAATGGCCACAATGGCCAGGGCTGAGCCAAGCTGAAACCAGGAACCAGTAACTCCATTCTGGTCTCCCATATGGGTGTCAGAGCCCCACGTACTTGGGCCATCTTCTGCTGCCTTCCCAGGCACAGTAACAGAAATGCTGAGTGGAAAGCAAAGTATACTTGACTGGAACCAGAATGGGATGTGGGCCTCACAGCTGGTGGCTTAACCTACACAAGACAATCCTTCAAGTGCCTTTTATAAAATAAGATAATATTTACACATAACCTATGTACATACTGCTGTGTGCTGTAAGTCAGCTCTGGGTTATTTATAACACCTAATGCACTATGGTTATTCTGTTGTTCCCGGGATAGTGATAAGATGCTCGTGTACATGTTCACTACAGACAGGGGCATTTTTTTTTTTAGTATTTTGTTCCACAGCTAGTTGAAACCATGGATATAAAAATCACAGATACAGAGACTTTTAAGGGAGCTGATGAGTACTAATCTCTTTTTATAATAATATTAAAGAAGTTACTTTACCTCCTCTGTTCTCCTCCATAAACACATGTACAGACTTTTTTGTTGGCTGGCTGCATGACATGTGACTTTGTACCAGATGACAGAAGCAAGTGTAGAAACCCATGTATCCTAAAGCAGATGTTATGGAAGTTTACAAAAATGTAAATTTAAGGCACTCTTCTGATTTATTTTTTTTTTTTTTGGAAAGGAAAAATTTATTCATTTAAAAATTTTTATGTTAACTGTTATGGGTTAATTTTTGGTTTCAAATAAATAAATATTTTAACATAAATGCTTCAATTTCTCATAGAGTAAATCATTATAGTTGTCATCTACAAAAGAAAATAGGGGTCCTCAGTAGTTTTTAAGAATGTAAAGGAGGCCCCTCAATCCAGGAAGTTTAAGAACTCATGTATGAAAGCCCCAGATCCATAGTGGTGACACTGGTAGTTTATTAAGAAACTTCCGGCTGCTTAAGCAATGCAACAAGTAGACAGTTCTTCCCCTGTAGGGGCTGATTGTTGGCACAGCCCATCCTGGGGCAGAGTTACTTAGACTGTGTTCCAAGATGATCTCTGAAAACTGTTAATTATCTGCAGTTTCATGTGTGTGTCACATGTCTCCTGAAGTCCCCTGGTCCCATTCCGGCTCCAAAAGGAGTGGTGATAAAGTCAAGGAGGGAGGTGCAAAGTTCAGGGTCTCTAATGTTCATGTTTGGGCTTGGGCGTCTCATGAGCTCTCAGCCCTCGACTCCTCCTTGTTACTTGTGGATAGGTGATGGGCTCGGGCCCACCTTTCTGGGCACTGAGGAAAAGAGTTTGTACCATGCCTTCTGCGTCTTTCTGGGCCTCCCTGCACTTAGTGTGGCAGGTAGGATGTGGTAGGACATAAAGAACTGAGGTCAGGTTGTAGACTGGAAGAATGTCTGAAGCCCAGCATCCTCGTGATCTGGCACTGTTCCTAGGGACCAGGAGACAGTCCACAGCATTTCAGAGCGCTACAACTGGAGAACCAAACAGGCTCTGCTCAGCCTGGCCTGGCAGCAGCAGGATGATTTTCAGGGACGCCTCTGCAGACTGTTTCTGACTCTGTCATGGACATTTTCAGTGGCTGAGCTAATGTTTGAGCTCTAATGGAAATTACTAGTTCATATTTTCCACTACAGTTTCCTGAGGCATCTTTACTAACTTGGAATTCTAGTATCTGTTGAGAATTGCTTGTAATAATTTAATGTTCTTTTGAGAATTTAAAAACTATTCTATTTATAGCTCCCTGTCTCTTGTTATCATTTCTTTGAATTCAAATAAACAGAACGCCTTGTATCTTAGATATTTGTTTCCTATCTCTACGGTGTCATTTAATGTTTTAAATGAATTAGTATATATATAAAAACAGCTTTATGTAAGCATTTTATGTTTACTTATAGATTTTATATATTCAGTGAACAATTTCACAACATTCAGAAGTTCCTAGAATTCAGATAAAAAAATTTCACTACTAAGGCATACCCTGTTCCAGGTGTTTTGTTGCATACAAATGTATAGTCTATAGTATTTTCTTGAATGTGTTTTGTAGTGTTTTCTTGAACTGTATCGTTGAGACTTTCTGACCTGTTTCACTTTTTAGAATTATTTGATAAAATTTATTCATAGCACGAACAGGCAGTTTTCAAAGGATGGAATTCAGGTGGCCAGTAGACACATTGAAAAAATGCTCAGGATCACTAACCATCAGGGAAATGCAGATGAAAACCACAATGAGGTTTCACCTCACCACAGTTAGAATGGCTCTCATACAGAAATCAAGAAACAAGAAGTGCTGGCGAGGATGTCGAAAAAAAGTCTCCTTATACACTGTTGTGGGAGTGTAAAATAGTACAGCCAATGTGGAAGACAGTATGGAGATTTCTTAGAAATCTGAAAATAGATCTACCATGCAACCCAGCCATCCCACTCCTGGGAATTTACCCAAACAAAATGAAATCAGTATATGACAGAGTTATCTGTACCCCCATGTTTATTGCAGCTCAATTCACAATAGGTGAGATACGGAATCAACCCAGATGTCCATCATCTGATGACTGGGTAAAGAAAATGTATACATACAATATGGAATACTATTCAGCCATAAAAAAGAATGAAATCTTGTCCTTTGTAACAAAATGGATGCAACTGGAAACCGTTGACTGCTGATTGCGTGGATCCCAGGGATATGATTAGTGAAATAAGGCAGTCTCCAAAAGACAAGTATCATGTTTTCCCTGCTCTGTGGTAACTAATAGAGTACAAAAAAAAATCATATATGAGCAAAATTGACATTTTGAGATGTGATTATTGTTTACAGCCCTTGTCTATACTCTTGAGGAACAGTGTTTTGTTCTTCTTACTATTTGTTGAACTCTTTACTTAGTGGAGGGTTAAGCTTATGATTATAAAATCAACTGAAAGTATGTCATTGTAAAAATTAAAAAAAATAAGAAAGGAAGGAGGAGGGAGTGGAGGAGGGCAAGGTGGGAAGTATCACTATGCTTCTAAATCTGTATATAAAAGATACATGAAATTTATTGACCTTATATAAATAAAAGTTTATAAGTAAGATTTTTTTTCTTAGGAAAAACGCATTGGGTATCATCTATTTTGGACCAAAGACTTCTGAAATTTTAAATTGAGAAGTAATTTGATTATGAACTGATGTAGTATAGATTTTATAAAATAAGCATTTTATTTTTGAGATTTTATGATATAAGCATATTCATGTAAGTTACAGTGAATCAATGAAATAGATATCTTCATTTATTATTATCATAACTATGTCTTCTAATTGAGGAATTATTTGCAGGTAACTCAGAAGTGTAAAATGCTATCTATGTGTTAGTAATAACATTTTATAAAAATTGGAATGCATTTAGTTTGATTAAATTCTGCTTCATTAGATTTTAATGTGCTATATGTTATACATTTCAGAAACTCCAGAAAGGAACTTAATGACATACGATTTGAGTTTACTCCAGGAAGAGGTAAGTTTTAATTGAAATTATTATTTTATTGCCACAAGAAACATTTCTGAAATTGATTTTACCAAGCATGTAGTTATAATTTGCAATTCAAAGCTGCTTTATCTAAAAAGGATGTTGTGAGATGGAAGGAAAGACTTTGGGTAATTGTGAAGAGTCCTACCTGAACCACTGCTGACTGCGTGGATCCCAGGGATACGTGCTGCACTGTGTAATACACATATCAATTAGATGGATTAGCTCAGCCATGACAGTAAGCACGGCATGGTAATGCAGGTCTAAGGAAACCGTGATGAGTGTGATGAGGAACATTCAGTGGTCCCACTGAGGGCTGAGCAGCAAACAATGGCATAAGGAAAAGGTAACATACTTTGCCTCTCTGTTCTCATTTCGAGTTACAGGAAGAGAGCCTGACATGCGGAACATCAAGAAGCCTTAATTAGGGAAAGGAGCTAGGCACAGCGGTTAAGATGCCACTTGGGATACCCACATCCTATAGTGAAGTATCTGGGTTTTTTTTCCTGGCTGCCCTTCTGCTTCCAGTTTCCTGCTGTGAACATCCTGGGAAACAGCAGGTGATGGCTCAAGTAGTTGTGTCCCTGCCACCCATTTGGGAGACCCAGATTGAGTTTCTGCTCAGCCCTAGGGTGTGAAACAGTTAATGGGAGATCATTGATCATTCTGATCATTCTGTATAATCCTTATATATATATATATATATATACACACATAATCTTTCAAATAAAATTAATTTTTAAAAGAAATCTTGATTAATTGACGGATAAATAACATCTATAAGCACAAAGAGTTTCCAAAGACTAAGACTAGTTGTTAAAATAATAGGGACCAAGGCCGGCACCACTGCTCACTAGGCTAATAATCCTCCGCCTGCGGCGCTGACACCCTGGGTTCTAGTCCTGGTTAGGGTGCCGGATTCTGTCCTGGTTGCTCCTCTTCGAGTTCTGCTGTGGCCCGGGACTGCAGTGGAGGATGGCCCAAGTGCTTGGGCCCTGCATCCGCATGAGAGACCAGGAGGAAGCACCTGGCTCCTGGCTTCAGATCGGCGCAGCGCACAGGCCGTAGCGGCCATTTGCGGGGTGAACCAATGGAAAAGGAAGACCTTTCTCTCTCTCTCTGTCTAACTCTGCCTGCGAATAAAATAAAATAAAATAAAATAAAAAGAAAGACTTTAAAAAAAAATAATAGGGACCAGCACCGTGGCACAGCAGGTTAATCTGCCCCTTGCTATGTGTACATAATACCCCATATTAGAGTGCCATTTTGAGTCCTGGTTGCTCTGCTTCTGATCCAGCTCCCTGCCAATGGACTAGAGAAGCAGTGGAATATGACCCAAGTGCTTGGGCTGCTGCTATACACATAGGAGACCCAACAGGGCTCCTGGCTTTGGCCTGGCCTATGCCTGGCCATTGTAGCCATCTGGGAAATGAACCAGTGGATGCAAGATCTTAGGCTTTGTTTGTGTCTCCTTCTCTGCCACTCTGCCTTTCAAATAAATTAATAAATCTTAAGCATAGATACTGTTTCCACTATTTAATGTATAATTATGTAACCTAGGGGAGTAAATCTTAGATTCTAATATTTCTGAGAATGTAACTGTCTCCCCTGACCTGTGGTATCAGACTTTTACGTACACAAAACATCCCCAATTTCTATATTCTATAATTTCCTAAAATATGTTAGTCTCTATCATTCAAATTTATTAATATATATATATAAGCTGATGACCCTCCATTTTAATGTATTAAAGTGTCATGTAAATTTTAATTTGATTAAATTATATTTACTAATATTTTGGGAATCGTTAAGACAAGGCTTTTACTTCTTGGTAGGCTGGCCAGGAAACTGCCTTCACTGGCTTGTTTCTATCACCTCCAAGGAGACACAAACCCACACCCACTCGGGAGCCAAAGTGACTGGTGGACGCTGCAGGAAACTGTAGAGTTCTTTCTGGCAAAAGATCTCTGTGAGTGAGATCTCAGTGGAAAGAACAGGTCTTCAAAGAAGGAGGTACCTTTCTCTGAAGGGAGGAGAGAACCTCCACTTTGACTATGACCTTGTCTAAACAAGATAAGAGTCGGAGAACTCAAGGGGCTTCCATAGCCTTGGAAACTCATGACTGGAGCATAGGGAGATTACTGATGCCATAGACAGGAGTGTCAATTGGTAAAGTCAACAACAGGAGTCACTGTGCACTTACTCCTCATGTAGGATCTCTGTCCTTAATGTGCTGTGCATTGAGGTTTAATGCTATAACGAGTACTCAAATAATATATTTCACTTTGTGTTTCTATGGGGGTGCAAACTGTTGAAATCTTTACTTAATGCATACTAAACTGATCCTCTGTAAAAAAAAAAAAAAAAAAAAAAGAAAAGAAAAGAAAAGAAACTATCAACTCCCAACTTGACTCTCACTGGGATTAAACATGACAATAGGTCTGATCTGATTTCATCATCATTAAAAAAAATCATCTATTATTTTTCACTTTATGTTTCTGTGTGGGAGCAAACTGTTGAAATCCTTACTTAATGTATACTAAGCTGATCTTCTGTATATTAAGATAATCGAAAATGAATCTTGATGTGAATGGAAGGGGAGAGGGAGTGGGAAAGGGGAGGGTTGTGGGTGGGAGGGACGGTATGGGGGGGAAGCCATAGTAATCCATTATTCGTACTTTGGAAACGTATATTCATTAAATAAAAGTTAAAAAAAAAAAAAAAGAAACTGTAGAGTTCTTTCTAAATAGGTTTATGTTCAGCTTTGGTTTTTCTGTTTGTATTGAGAGGCAGAGAAAGACATTTTCTGATGTATTCTTCATGTGCCCACAGCAGCTGGGACTGACAAGCTGAATCCAGATTCTGGGAACTCGGTCCCGGGTCTTTTGTGTGGTTTACACTTGACATGTCACTTGCTATCTCCGAGGGTCTGTGTTAGCAAGAAGCAGGACTTGGCAGCAGGGCCAGGACTTGAGCCCCCAGGTACAATGGCATGCGATACATCCCAAGTGGCAATTTAACTTCAAGGACAGACAACCCCCAGCTAGGTTCAGTTTTTCAAAAAATGCCGCCAGCCAAACAAAATTTGTTCCTGGGCCAAAGGTGGCCATAGACTCTCTGGTCTCTGACTCAGTCCTTGTTAAATGCCAAGATTTAATGACTCCTAGTATATTTGAATTAAAGTAGACTATCTTTTACAAAATGAGTGTATGTAAAACTCTCATGAACTTGCTAATCGGTCTTTTCTGTCTGAGCGTAGCCGACTCTGACAGTGTAGAGTTTTACAGCACCAGTTAGCATGATGAAAAAGCTATCTATTTTGTCATAATCTAGACATATTGACCAGGCAGTCCTGTGGTAATTATGTAATAAACATTTCCAGTCCAGTAAGTGGTAAGAACAGATGCCATTTTTAAGGTTGTTTTCTTTTCATCTGATTTTTTAAAATGGACTATGGCAGTGAAAATCAACTTAAATTCTTAAATTCTTAACAGGCAACTGAGAAACGAAATCTGGGCATAAGATGACATTGTCCACATTACTGGACCCCGTGCACTGGCTTTGGCAGCCTCATTTGCCAAGGGGTGGAGTCAGAGGCTCTGCCTTTTGTTGCCCAGACAGATACCATGGCATTGGCTGTCTGGGGGCAGCCGGCCCTCACTGTGCACCTGAGCAGCAGAGGCTTGGCAGTGTGTCTTTCACTGCACCGCTGGGATCCCAGTGCTGCTGCTGTTTCAGACATGGTCTACAGACATGGTCTGTGTGTGCACACCTCGTGTCTGTGCTGCAAATTCAGGTGAATAAGTCGACGGCAATAGCTGTGTAATAGACACACATAAAATATCCTCTGTCCCCATTGGAGGAAAGGCCCTTTGTGTTTAATATGTTGCTGCATGCCCTGGAAGCCAGACATTTCGTATGAATATTTAACCTGTTTACAAACCAGGAATGTTAAATAGCTTAAAGAAAAAAAAAATAAAATACCAGTGAAACATGAAATAATTATTTCACATTTCATTTCTGAGCTATTACTGATGTCTTCCATGCATACAAATTACTGCCTACTGGCACATACTGAAATATCAACCATTTCCCGTTCGGCCATCCAGTATGACCTGTTTGCCATTTGGATATGGCTCACCTGGTGCTCAAGAGACCTGCAGAACAGAACACATGGTACACTTTGATCACTTGGGAATGGCAGTCACTGTGGTGTTGTTTTAGGGCTAGCCCCAGTGTGGCTTTGATTGTTCCGTCTTCAACTACGTTCTCTGAGTAAAGCCCCTTACTCTGGTGTAAGATCTTACTGGTCCTGAAGAGGTGGAGGTAACCTCCTAGGTGTGTTAGACACCTTAATTAAATCCCGGGCTGAGAGTGGTTTTGAGGCTGAACGTTTTAGCAGCTTCAGAAAGCTCGATCCCCTTCGGAGCAGAGCTTTTCACTGTGCTGTCCTCCATTGATGATATGAGATCATTTTATCCTGAAGAGACTTTCTTATGCTATATGCTGTTTTTGTACTTCTGTCAAGAAGGACAAGTTCCAAGACATGCTCACCTCATATGGGATCTCACAATTTAGTAGGATTTCCATACATTTCTTTGCCTTTAACATAATTTTATTCCATTTCATTGTGATCTTATTATGAAACAGAATCATTAAAACGTGGAATACCACGATTTGCCTGGAAGTATAGAGACTATATGCTGAGTCTCAAATTTTTGTTGCAGATTTGGAAATAAAGCCCTGCATATTAGAAAGAAAAAAAGCGCACTAGAGTTTAAGTGTATTTCGGATGATCACTGGGTGCTGCCTCAACATCCCAGTTACTGTCTGCTGAGTACTTATGGTGTGTCAGACACTGACACATAGTCTTGTGCTTTAGAACTCAAGAGTTATAAGACAGATATACTTCTGGCCACATGCTTACGCACTGTACGCGCACGCACACACACACTCGCTCACTTGTACTCACCAAGTTTGAAGCACAGGTTAAGTAAAGAAACCAAGGTATGTTGAAGGTGGCTTTTGGCATGACAAACTGTAATTGAGCTTAGATTTAGTTTGATTCCATCACCAGGACTCGCTGGATTTGCAAGACACTCATGTCAAACCTCCATCTGAATTGTTACAGGCTGCTTAGTTGATTTCTTCTTATCCAGCGACAGTTCTGGATGTTTGTGAGAATATCAGAAGGCCACACACCCTAAGTGTCTCCTATGGGAAAATACACTTACAGTAGTTCTTTTTTTTTATTTTTTATTTTTATTTTTGACAGGCAGAGTGGACAGTGAGAGAGACAGAGAGAAAGGTCTTTCTTTTGCCGTTGGTTCACCCTCCAATGGCCAGCGCGTTGCGGCCGGCGCACTGCGCTGATCCGATGGCAGGAGCCAGGTACTTATCCTGGTCTCCCATGGGGTGCAGGCCCCAAGCACTTGGGCCATCCTCCACTGCACTACCTGGCCACAGCAGAGAGCTGGCCTGGAAGAGGGGCAACCGGGAGAGAATCCGGCGCCCTGACCGGGACTAGAACCCAGGGTGCCGGCGCCGCAAAGCGGAGGATTAGCTTAGTGAGCCACGGCGCCAACCCTGCAGTAGTTCTTTTGAGGACATAGCAATTTATCAATTTCTCTTTACAAAGTCTTAAAATAGAAGATAACAGTGTTGTCATGTTCATTCATAACCTTTCAATTAAGTAATTTCAGCTATAGTCTCTTGCCACAGCCCATTTCGGTCCCACCTTTATGATATTACTAACTCCTGTCACTTACCATTGAGAAATTACTTTATTTTATTCAACCACATTTTCTAAGAGAATGAGTCTGTTGCTATTAAATGATCAATGTCATGTTGAGGGAATTTCTTAATAGCATAAATTTAAATAGCCCATCTTAATAGCCCAAAGAAGCTCATAGGATGTTTATGCCAAAAAAAGGTTGTATCAAATGCTACCCATCCAACCTTTGCCATAAATTCTGACTCAGTAGCTACTAATGGGAAAAAAGGATTGATAACAGCTGGTATTAACCTTGCAGGAGCCTTTTCATGAGGAGAATTTATGAATTACAGAGGTACATTTGAGGGTTAATTCAGAGAGTAGCCAGACAACAGAACTTTTTGTCTACCAAAAGTGAAAAAAAAAATTATTTTTGTGTAACTTCTGTTGAATAAAGTAGCAAGATGAAAATTGCAGGTGGCAAAGTGTCTTAGGTTGCTTGATTTTTTTCTTCCCTGCTAGAATCTGAATTGTTGAATTAAAACTCCTGTAGATGATTTTAGTAAATGAAAAATATATGTTTTACATTGCACTGGATTGTTGATCTTTATTTTATGATAACTAATGCATATTCATTCTGCATTTGGACAGATACGGCAGATGGTGTGTCTCAGGAGCTCTTCTCTGCTGGCTTGGTGGATGGTCACGATGTAGTTATAGGTAAATTGTTTTTTCCTATGGTGGATGGTCATGATGTAGTTATAGGTAAGCTGTTCTTTCCTATGCAGTGTCATTTTGTTGATATATCAAATGGAAATGTGTTTAGAAGCAAAAGTTTTCATGGAGGACAGTTCATTCTAGATTTTTGGAAAGTTCTTGACTTCCTGTTTCTTATATAAAAGTACATTGAAAGATCATATTTACTTTTCTTTTTTCAAAACCTCTTGATGTAATTCTTCCCCGTTGTGCTGGACATGATCTGTCCAGTAACAAGCCTCACTTACTGGAAATATAGCAAAGAACCCAGAGGTAAGATCTGAAAGTCCACAAGGTCTCAAAAATCAGACGATGTAAGTCCACATAGCAAAGTGCGACAGGGAGCCTTCAGTTCCTGTCTCGGGGTTCCTCTGCTCTTTCTTCGGGCACTGTCTTAAGAAATACAAAGGTTAGTTTTTCCAGCCTCAGCAGTGTTCCCGAGTCTTCAGGTTGGAGGGGACCCTAAAGATCATGCAGACAGCTTCTTTGATTGTGTAGATGAGGAAGAAAGACCCTAAGGAAGGTCAGTGGCTTGCTCAGAGCCAGGCAGCTGGGTTTGGGCAGAGACACTGCGTTCTGCAACTGCAGACATTCATCCACTTTCAGAATCAAAAGATAACAACACGGAGACAGGTAGGCATGCTGATGTGAGCACACAATGCCTGGCGGCCTCCCTGCGTGGCAGAAGAAGCCACAAAGCTGGCAGAGGCAGACGGGGTCACCCTGGTTCTGTCTAGAGTGAGGGTGAACAACTCCATGTTCTTCGGCAAGTTCTAGGTTTGTAGTCTGTCACTGTATGTTCATGATGATAACCCATAAGTCATCCAGGTTTGTTAGCATGCCCATGTTAATTGTGATATTCTGTTAATTCTGTTGTTAATTATAATATTAATTAGGGGAATGTGTGTTATAGTGAAAGTTTCTTCAGAAGTATTCAACTTGGAAGTAAGGCTTGAAATGACACGCTTCTTTTAGATCATGTTTAATTTTTAAAAATTGTTTATTTAAAATAAGCCCTTCCTCAGTAATGCTGAAGTAGTATGTGACTGAGAAGGAGTTTGAGTTAGACACATACAGCAATCAGAATAGTTTTTCTAGAAACTTGATAATATAGGCATTAATAAAGTGAATGAATTTATTTAGATAAGAGGAGGGAGCAGGGTTAACTGGGAAATTAGAATTTTGAATGAAGAATCAGAACCTGATATGTTATTTCTATACAAATGATGTCATAAATGCAATGATACCAGCAAACTTTTATAATTAGAAAAATAGTTATCTCTTTTTCCTATTAATTACATATGATGTGTACACACTAGTTTCACAAGGATTCCTCGTATGCGCCAAGAGGTGCACACATGAGGAGATGGAGTCGTATCTTAAGGGACATGCAAGCCTGTGCTTGTCAGTGCGTGGGAATCTCCTCGATTATCCCATCTTTGACCCGTCCCTTTACCAAACTGCTGAGCACTCCTGTCCAGCCAAGTTTTCACCTAAGTTTTCTAATCAAGGGTGAGGAGGAGGCAGAGAAAAAAATCCATTCAACTTTGGTGCCTACTTTAAGCTTTGAAACTCAGAGAGTTCTTTATGTTTACCTAACACTTTCTTGATAAAGGTGAACATTATTATTTTCATCAGAAAAAAGTCAGGGACACCTTTGTGTCTTAGTTTAAAATAAGGAGAATAGCTGGTGGCTACATAGAGATACTCTGTAAGATATATATTTTTCTCAAAAGACCTATGGCACATACAGTAAGCAGCCAGAATAGAAAATTAATTAATTAACCAGCGGAATGAAAATATAAATCAAAAACCTTCTTTTAAATTCCTGTTCGTGTTTCCCATTGTGCAAGAAGTTGAGGATTAAATCATGTTTCAGTTTGAGTTGATCCTGGTAGGTGGTTCAGAACAAGGAGAATAAAAAATAACTCTTGCAAAGGCATGAGGTCACATCTTTCGCTAAGCATGATCTTGCTTTAGGTCTGCAGTCACATTTCGTGGGCTTCTTGTTTAGCTCCAGGCTCAGCTAAGTTTGAGAATTTTGTTGAGTTTTTTTGAAGGAGAAAATTAAGAAATTGCGGCAGAGTTCATGTATATCTTATTAATGTGATTTAAATACTAAAAGGCTTCAAAAGGCTCATCAAAAAATTCTGTTATATTTTAATTGCATTTACACAAACTTTTGTATCAAAAATTTGTTACAAGCCTCCCTTGAAACATATATAACTCAAAAGCTTCTATTTTTCTATGCCTTAATTGTTTATTTTCCTTAAAAATCTTTTTTATCTTTTCCTCTTCTTGGGGCTGAAGTATTCCTATGTGTAGAGTGTAATAGTAATAAAAATTATGTGTTATCAAAGATATCTTACACAGCATCACATCTAAGGATTTATAGACAACTTTTGCAAATTTCATTTAATCATCACATCCATTCTGCACATAGAGGGTAGAGGGGATGGATTTTTTAAGTCATTATTTGGTGGTTGAAAACTGAGGTCAGAAGAAATGTCTGGAATATTGCAGCTTGTGATGGTCCTTGAATTTGGGTCTTTGGACAACAAGCTTCCAGCTTCTCTCTGAACATGACACTTAGTGTACACCTTATCTGGTACCAATAGCCTTAAAAAGCAAATCCAGGTAATTTTAAATATTGAAAGTTTTTGTGTTTCCTGGGAAAAAATAGCTTGTACTTTTTTTTTCCCAGATAAGTAGATGCCATTTTATATTTTAAATACTGTTTGAAAAACAGACACAACATGTTTGACCCTGTCCCCTCAACCAGTCCCAGTGGTTCACTGTACCCTCTGCCATCACCTGTTTCTCTTTACTGGATATGTCTCACCAGCATATGAATATGTTTTTATTTGTTTATTAAAGATTTATTTATTTATTTTGTAAGTCAGTTACAAAGAGAGGAGGAGAGGGGGAAGAAGAGAGAGAGAGGTATTTTCCATCCACTGGTTCTCTCTAGGTGGCCTCCATGGCCAGTGGTGGGCCAGGCCAAATCCAGGAGCCAGGAGCTTCTTCCAGGTCTCCCATGTGTGGATACAGGGGCCCAAGCACTTGGGCCATCCCCTGTTGCTTTTCCCAGGTCATCAGCAGGGAGCTGGATTGGAAGTGGAACACGAACCATCACCCATATGGGATGCCAGCTTCACAGACAGTGGCTTCACCTGCTACATCACAATTCCAGCCCTGAATATACTTTTATTTAACACACCTTTAAAGAGCTTTCTCTTTATTCTACCTGCCACTTACCTCTCCATCTCCCTCCACCTAAATTAACAAAATAATTGCCTTTGCCTTTTTCTAATTATTTTTTTTTATTTGAAAGGCAAAGTGATAGGGTTGAGGGAAGACAGAGAAAGAGAATCTTCCATTCACTAGTTCACTCCCCAAATGGCTGGGACTGGGCCAGGCAGAAGCAAGGTGCCTGGAACTCCATTTGAGTCTCCCACATAGGTGGCATGGCCCCAAGCACTTGAGCTGTCTTCCACTGCTTTCCTAGGCACCAGACACATTTGCAAGGAGCTGGATCAGAAGCAAAGCAGCCAGGACTGGAATCAGTGTTTGGTATGCTGGTGTTGAAAGAAATAGCCTAACCTGCTGAACCACAACACCGACCTCAGCGTCCATTCCGTTCCTACCACTGTTTCCTGAACCTGTGCTAATCAGACGTTTGGCCTCCTCAGTCCACTTCAATTATTATTTTCAGTGCCACATCTGGGGAAGACGCACAACTGCTGATGGAAAAGCAGAAGCAAAGGCAGGCATCATTGGAGCAGAGTGAACAAGGAAGAAGGCAGAGGACTTATGGTCTAAGACCAACAGCCGTGTACCTAAATCTGAGATTAATTCTCAGTGCTTGTCTTACTTGGCCTAGCTGCATAGTTGACAATGCCATTCTCCATAATAAACTTTTCCGTTAGTGGGTTGGGTGGTTAATCTCCCACTTGGGGCACTCGCATTCCTTGTGGTGTGTCTGGGTTGGAGTCCCCACTGTGCTTTCCATTCCTGCTAACTAATGTGCACCTTGCAAGGCAGCAGGTGGCAACTCCAGTGGTTTAGTCCCTGCTGTCAACACGGGTAACCTAGTTCGAGTTTCTGCCTGCAGGCTTCAGCTTGGCCTAGTCCCATCTGTTGTGGGCAAACATTTCATGTGAGTGAACCAGTGGATGGAAGATCTCTGTGTCTGTCTCTCTGTCTTTCACATAAAATAATAATAATAAATAACAATTAAAAAAAAAACTTTTTCATTTGACTTTTAAGGTTCCTGCCTTTCATGGGCTTCCCATCTTGCTGGCCTTTCCATCTCTGGGACCTGTAAGTCGCGACATATCCAAGGACTCTTTCCTTGCCTCTTTTATCAAATCGCTCACTACTTTAGCGACCTCATCTGGTTTTTATGGTGTAATTTGCTTTCCAGTCTTCAACTCTCACATTTAGATCTCCAACCCAGACCTGTCAGTTCCTAGCATTTTTACTCAGAACGAAATAGACACCCCACATTAAATTCAAAATCCAGCCTCTGGGGTTTCCCCATCCTGCTCTCCAGGTGTCTTGTGCTCCTGGTTGATTGATGTCAGCTTCATCGTTCTAGGTGCCCAGGCCCAAGTCCCGAGAGTGGTCCCTGACTTGGCTTTCTCTCATGCCCCACGTCCAGTCTATCCGAATGTGTCTGGCTCTGACCGTTGTTCCCTGTAACCCCGCTCCTCTCCCCATCCTGTTCAAGCCCCTCTTGTGTCTCAGCCGAGTGACGACATCCATCTGCTCACCAGTTGCCTTCCTGCAGCCTGTTATCTCAGCAGCCAGAGCGACCCAGGTGAAGTAAGCTAGGGCCACAGGCCACCTGTCCATGCGTCCATTTAAACGTCCAGAGCAGACACATCGTAGAGTCAGAAAGTGGAGTAGCGGCTCCAGAGGAGGCTTGAAGGGGAAGAGCAGGGGCTCCTAACAGCTGTGTC